AAACCTAATGTCTGGGTACTGAGGTTCAACCTCCATTTACACTCACAACACCACGTGCACATCCCTTTTTTAAAGATTCCAGCTACTGCCTAAGAGTGAAATTGATGTTGGTGCATTTATCCCAAAGCAACCTCATTACAGAATCTTATTACCTCAACAGGATCAGACAGATAGATGGGTAGATAGATAGATAGATAGATAGATAGATAGATAGATAGACAGATTATCTATCTATCTATCTATCTATCTATCTATCTATCTGATAGATAGATATTATGCTAAGAACATTACTTAAGAAAATAACAAGAATCTACAGCAATCAACAAACAAAACAGTGAAGTGCTAAAACAATACAGAGTACAGATTAAGATAGTGTCTGTTTATTTTTGATAAAACTGCAGCTATTCCCATGAAAGCTAAATTACAGTGGAATCACTATGTGTGACGAAATAAATTGTCCTGACCATTAACAGATAACAGTCCTGCACTATAAAAGGAGACCAACTTCCACAACAGTGCAAAGATACGTGGTTATCAAGGGCGGATTAATGCATGGGTTATCCAAGACTATAGCTTAGGGCAACAGCAGACATCAGGGCTTTGCCCTGCTTTGGGAAAAATGCAAGTTAGTTAAAGCGGCAGCTCCATGCAGGTGGCAGCCTAAGGTCCCCAATTAAATTAATCTGCACTTGGTGGTCAAGCAAACTAGGGACTCTAAATGACTAAGTGTGTGAATGTGTGCCCTAAGATAAACTGGCATCCTGTCCACAGTGTCCCCTGCCTTCCTCATGCCCTGAGCTTCCTGGCAGACACTACACCTTCACCATGACCCTGTGGTTATAGATAAATCATAATACATATTTTTTTAAACACTATAGTTTTTATACCACATTTATAATAAATGCTGTAAAATGCTAAAATCTAACATGCCATAAAATGTGAGAATGAAATGCAGTAAATGCATTCTAGCATCCACACCCTCATTTAACTGTCATTGTGGGTAATCAATACACTCCAACATCCTCCACTCACATTTAGTGACATTTTACTTTATTGAGTTTTCTTATTATCCATGAGAGGGATTTTTTCCCAAAAGGTACCCCCACAAAATTGTGTATATAATTAAAAATCCTAAAACCTCATAGTATATGTCAACTTAACTTTTAATGTATAGATGTACATTGTAGAATTCAAAACTGTTATACATTAGATTATACCACGAGATTGCTGGAAACATGTGAAACACCTTTTTGTCACACCCGCCCAGTCACGCCCATTCCATGACGTCAGCAACTACAGCTGATCCTGCCTACAGACAATGGGACTCCCTATTTGAGCCTCGCACCAGCAACAGGTCGGTGCAAGATATTGTTGGCATGTCACTACCAAGCGCTTTAACTTTCTGTTCTCCCCACAGTTACGTTCAGTCTGTCTAGCCCTCCCCGAGTTACCCGCGCCTCCTGCCTGCCCACTTTCCTGTCCGCCCTCCCCGTGACTTCCCTCGTGGATTCCTCTCCTTTGTGTGTCTGCATCCTTGGACAGACTCCCTGACTATTCAATCCTTGGACCCCCTCTCGACTACGGCATCTGGACACATCTTGGCTTCTGCCGATATAAACGGAAGGATTCCTGTTAAGACCCTGATATGACTTCTGACCATTCTCTGTTTCATCCTCAATAAACCTGGTCGCTCGGAACCCTTTGTCCTGGTACAGTGGTACGTCAGTTCTCAAACTCATTAGAACTAAAATTTCTTAAAAGTCCAACCAACCAGTTCGAAAAAAAATTACCTAGGACTCGATCTAAATCTCAGAAATCAAACCGTGAACGCTGAAATAACTTGTACGCGCAGCACATCTCTTAGTGGAAACAAAGGGTAACGCTTCAGTCTCAGCCTCGCATTCGCAGTGATAACATCCTGCATGTTTACACTAGCTGAATACATAAATTTAGACAGTAAAAAAATACATTAGACAATGATAGACAGTAACAGTAATTATTATTATATAATAAAATACATTTAAAAATAAAGATTTCTTATTAATTATTTTAATATTAATAATAAACCATTAATACATTTAATTATAATGATATTGTCAAGCTGAGCGGGGACAGAACGGAGACATAGGCGCAGACATCAGGGAATACTGGGTTTAATAACGTGTAAGGCAGGCAAAATGCAGACGGACAATACAATAATCAGACTGGGGAAACAAACTGAAACGCGGACTAAATACAGAAGACTAATGACAACAACCAGAAACAGCTGATCACACGGGGATTCCACACAGGGTTAACGAGGGGGCGTGGCACACGGAAGGAGTGGACGATCGGGGCAGGACACGTTGGTTTTTTTTTTTACTTTACACATTGTTTGGATACATTTATTTTCTTACTTTACAAATGACTGTTTTGATAAATGTGCTTAGATATGTTTAGTGCAATATATGCTCTTCTTGTTTTATCCAGTTCATTTTGTGTTTAAATGCTAAAAAAAACATATTTGGGTGCAACTGTTTGGGGCCGGGAACCAATTAATTAGTTTTCCATTATTTCTTATAGGGAAAATTCAATCAGAACTCGAACTTTTTAGGATTCGATCCAGAGTTCTGAACGGATTAAATTCTAGTTCTGAGGTACCACTGTATTGTGTCATGGTACACTTTTGGTAGCAGGTGGGCAGAATCTGTCAGGCATAGCCTGTGTCTTCCCATGAGCATGGAAATAATGCTTAAGGACTTTGTGGTACAGGCCACTAAGTGAATCACTGGAACACTGCTGGATGTGCTTTGGGTCTTCAGGGGATGTATTTCACAACAAGCATTTTTAATTTGCCAAAACCACAAGACAATTACAAGTGCTTCATAAGAGAGGCCTGTGGTTTGTTCCATTGTACATCTTTTATCATGCAACAAAATATTGATAGAAAAAACAGAGAGGAATAACAGACAGTTTCAAAAATTACTGACAATCACCAAAGATGATAATAGATCATAAAAGGCAATATTTTTTTACAAAGCACAGACTAGCTACAGTATATTATCACATTTCTGTATGAAAGTGCCATTCTCTAACATAATTTCAATATACAGACACTCTCCATGTTGCGATGGTTGTGTTACGATATTTGAGCTTTACAATGGGTAAATGTTTTTCACTTTCAGTACATTATTCAATAAATGAAATGATATTCAACATTTATTTTTTATAAATTAGATTTTGTGTAAATGATTTTGCCCAACTGTATGCTAATGTAAGTGTTCTAAGCATGTTTAAGGTAGGCTAATGGCTAGGCTGTGATGTTTGATAGGTTAGGTGTGCTGTATTAAAATGCATTTTTGCCTTATGATATCTTTGCCTTACGATAGTTTTGTTGGAACGTGACCCCATCGTAACCCGGGGAGAGACTGTATAGTAAACTCACAACACATCCAAAACCAACCAAAATAATTTATAATTAAACTAGGGCTGTCAAAATTAACGTGTTAACTCGGATTAATCCATCATCATGATTAATCTGATTAAAATGTTTAACGCAATTAACCCATCTGCAGTGCGGAATGACTCAAAATCCCTGAAATGTCTCTGTCAACCCATTTCAGGCAGTTTTGGTGCGTTCCATTTGCCCTCGGAACTCATATTCCGAGTCAGATTCTGAGTTTTGTCTTCTGAGTGACGACATGCGCGCTCCCGTATCTTGGAGATCTGAGAAATATCTCAGAGCAGCACAGAGGATCCCGAGTTCAGAATCAAAGATGGCTGCGCCCTTTATCAACAGAAGGGAAAGTTGTAGTTTTATACTGTTTAAGCACTACTTCTCATTTGTGGCTCATTAAATCGGTCGCACACACTATACCGTCCAACTAATCTGTGGACGTGTTGCTACGGAGTTTTATACGTAAAGCACCACACGTAATGTGTTATCAATTGATATTGCTAACAATGGCAATTAACCAGGCTAGAATTGGATTTTATGATTAGTCGGATTATTTGTCGGATTTACGGTAGTTTGGGCTAATTGTAAGTGAAAGAAGATAAAGACCATTTAAACTGAGGTACCTTAAATCTGACAAGTTGTCAGGCTAAGCAAAAAATCTTGCTTTTTGATATGGGTCCATGGTATTGCACTTCTGTGGCAGATGGATTGCATCCGACTCGTGTTCAAGATGTTCAGTAAACATGTTAAGTGCATATATATTCCCTTTTTTCTTGAATCTGTTTGCTCATGCAAAATGAAAAGCGATTAATATAAATTAAAAATGAATGATATTTAATTGTGATTAATCAAAATTAATCCACAGCAACCCTGTGATTAATCTGATTAAAAATTTTAATTGTTTGACAGCACTAAATTAAACATATAATACTTTTCTACAAATAAATTTCCTAAACATTATTATTGTTCTTAGCCAACCAATGGGACAATTAACAAAGGGATAAAGGTTTAACAGCTGACTAATCCATTATTTTTTTTGTGTCATTTTACATGATCTGTGAACAAACTTGTGGGAAAGAAAAAAAAAACATTGGTAATCAGCTGCTCCTGTGAACCCACAGGTAAAACATATGGTACAAAAATAAAATTGAGTACTCTTTGGTGATAATCAGCTTTTGGCCAACAGAGATAACATGGAAGCTTTACTTCACAATGTAATGTCATTTACTGGGTATAAGGCAAGCAACACAGAGGTAACAGACACCTTAAGGAGCATTGTTTAAGCTTTGCTATAAATACCTATCCTCTCTGTCTAAGACAATACAACACAAAACAAAGATATCCCATAATAAACATACTAATTTGCAGAATGGACCTGAAAAAAGTTTTACTTTTACAAATATTAGGCCCAAGTTACCACTGAAAGATTATCATCAATCTATAAAAGGATATATTAAATCCAAGCACTGTAACTCTTGTTGCACAAAATGTAACCAAACCATTGTAGGATTATTAATTGTTATTTGTTCACACTAAAATCTGGAACAACAAAGGAGATTTTTACCTTCTACAGGAGATGATTTCAGTTTGGAACAGAGTCCATGGATGCCACCGTATGATTCCTGTATTTTTTGTAGTCCTTCAGCCCCACGCAGTTCCATGAGTGAGCGCAGTTCTTGCAGCGTACAACCAAACTCCTGCTCCTGGTAGTCCTGGTCTGGGGGGCTCTTTTCCCCGCCATAAGAGTTGTTTGCCATGTTTCCTTGCCACGTATCACCACAGCTTTGGCAAAGGAAGGCCCATGAACAAAACAGCAATATCCTTAGCTGAATAAAGCACTTTCCATGAACGTTTTCAATCCTTCAGAGCTGTGCCACGTTCAGGTCTTTGTAGTGTAATCTGGATAAATTAAAAGCCATTTCCTTCTGAATGTCCCATGTCTATTCCTCCATGCTGCCAACTGCTGTCCCAAGGATATCAGCATGGGAAGATCTGGGAGAGACTGGGAGTTTACAATGTTAACATCCCTTGCTTTTCTTGCAGTATAAAAACAATGGTAGTAGTGGATGTCAGTGGCAGCATGCAGTTTCTATCCCAGTGTAAACACCAAAAGGCCACTGACTACCAGTATTTCAATAGGATCAACTGCTATGACTGGTAGCTGGTAGCACAGCCTGCTCTAAAAATAGAATTGATGAACTCCAGGTCACTGGCATGGACTCAACATGAAACACTACCCATTTAAAGGAAAAAATACCAGAACTTTATTTGAGGAACGGCGTGGGAACCTACTTGTCATACAGACAGAAACATGCCTTAAAAAAGAAAGAAAATTCAGCCAACATTACAGCACTGCTCCAAACTGATTCAGGAAGCTCACGCCTGTTACATCTTAATAGCCTTCAGTTCCTATATAAAATAAAATAAAACTCAGTGGAGGGATGTGGGGAAAGACTGAACCATAAACCATGGAACACCTACACCGCTGGACTTGGTAATGAATGCCACCAACTTCCTGCAGTGATTCTTCTGCCAAATTGCTATCATAACAGTAGCTACATATAACAGTAGCAAGAGGTCAGGAGGGATGCAGGATAGAAGAAGGGATCAGCTCTGTGTCTGTCAGTAGCATTTCCTACTGAATGCCCTACTCCAATAATTTTCAACCCCTGGCTTGCTTTTCTCTGAAAAAAGTTGGATCAGATCTGGTTTCTGTAAAATCACAAAATCTGCATAATAATGAATAACGTTCAGAGACCTTAAAGAATCTTTATTGTGCCTTGAGATCAAGGAAGAAAATGGAAAATAACAAAAAATTAATCAGTTGATACACTAAGAAATATACCAACCAAATCATACATTGCCCCATTGTGCTGTTAGATCATACTAAAAATATCCATCCACCATCCACCCAACCACTTATCCTGGTAAGGGATGGCTGAAGGCTATCCTAAACACCACAGAACATGTTACTGATGTACTGATGGGCTAGTATCCCTGGATGGGATACTAGTCCATCGCCAAGTGCATAGTTGCATGCATGTATGCACGCACCCCCCCCCCCCCCACACCCCCCCCCACACACACACACACACACACACAGACCTGTACTCATATTTTAGTGGGGACCCTCCATTTATATCTATGGGAAAAACCAAAATCCAAAAATGATGACTTAACCCCTACTCAGCCCTACCCTTAAACATAAATAGCCTAATGAAATTCAAGTCATTTGGCATTTTTAACTTTTTTGATTGCAGTCACCGATTTTTTATAAAATTGAGGATATCCTTATGGGGACCAGAAAAATGGTCCCCACAACATCAAAATAACAGGTTTTTATCACGTTGTGGGGACATTTGGTCCCTACTATATAAGGTATACCTGGACCATACACACACACACACACACACACACACACACACACTACAGGCAACTTAGATTCCTATTTCCTATTAGCCTAACAACACATCTTTGAACTGAAAGAAGAGACCCGTGTGATACCAGGGGAACACGGAATTTCCACACACAAGATAGGGGTGGGACTCAAATAATTCCACTGTTAAGTGTTCAGTCAACAAATTATCATTCAATAAATATTTTTCACTTTAATATATAAAAACTTTAATATATTCACACCAGTACCAGACGAAGTTGTATGACACCATGTAGATCATAAGGAACTTTTTACAGTTCCTGGGTTTATCCCGCTCACCAGCCCACATGACAAACTCTACATCTGTCTACATACAGACCTCCAAACCACCATTAACGAGGCAGAGCAGATGACAAATTGTCATTGTGCAGGTCATGGGCATTGTTAGGTCCGATCACTCAGGGCTATAGCCCCAAGTATTTTAAGCCTAGCCCAGATTATTGTACATCCATTGCCAGTATTCCTTCAAAAACATATCCTTGACATATCCCATGGTCTTTCCAATAGCAAGAAACTCTCCTGGTGCAGGTACATGAAAGGCAGCCAGGGACAAGCAGGATTAGCGAGTCCCACATCAAACACCAAATTGGTTTACTGGGCTATTATTATACAATCATTTCCACATAGTCATGTATTGGTATTTATATAACCACTCTATGTGCATTCCTAGTGCGCAAAAGCATGTTATTCCCAAAGGACAGGAATAAAAAAAACAACCAGCCAGCCTATCTCTTCCCTCAAGAAAATGTGTGTAAGGGTTTTACAGTGTATTCAGTAACCCCAATAAAACACAGACAAGTGCTCAAGTCATTTTCCTTTTCTGAAATCGCATTCCCCTTAAATGCATAATTATGAACAGTAGCTCTACCATACTGTTTTCAATAAGCCCTGTTAGAGTCATTACTAATTCCAGTTTCAGCTTTCACTGAAATTCTGCCTTCAGTGAGTGTTTGATCTTCACTGCACACTCTGGCCCATGTCACTGCACAGGAGGGACACTTATCCTATGAAAGCCACTCAAGTAATCTAATTAGGCAGCCCAGTGCATCAGGGAGGATCCACTCCATAAGTGTGCTTTGTGAAAGAAAGGTAACAGCTGACACAGCACAAGGAATCTCATTTTAGTGTAAATGAACATTGAACATTGCAACCTAGGTGGTTTAATAGGGAAATAAAGTATAAAGTAAGGAGGAAAAGGGCTTTGTTCCAGAGATGGAAAATTACTGATGATGACATAATAAAGCAAGAGTATCTAAATATACAGGCTGAATTAAAAAATGACATTAGACGAGCTAAAA